AGTCTTGTCATTCATCACAAGCAGTAACTTATGATGGCGTGTGACTATAGCTTCTCAAACACTTTGAAAGGAGAGGCTTGCTATGTTCAAAATCATATATGCAGCTTTCTTGGAAAATTTCTAATAAAATAAAAACAAATCCAGCTATACCTTTTGTGGCGGTTCCAATCATGATATCAGGACCTGTTTCAGCTACACTGCTCTGCATCGAGGATTAGAAACAAATACCTCTGAATTGCAAGTAAAATACTGTATATTACTGCTGAGCTGAGATTTCAAAAGTTCATATTTATTTCTCAAGTCACAATTTATACTAAATCCTTGATTCTCAAATTATTATGTTGAATTTCTTGATTCTATGTAGAGGTCTCCTAGAAATGTAACTTCAAAGCTGGGCAGTGAAAGTAGAACTTATATTTCTTAACTGTTGATAAGTAATGTGTAGTCGACAAAACGTGTTCAGTTTTTGGTATCACCAGAAGATATGGGAATATAGTTAACAAAATTATATGCAGTTTTAATTTTTAACATGATACAGGCTTCTGAAAACCTTTGCAAATTTTAAATGGACATACATGGTTTTATTTATGTATTAAAATGATTGTACTAAAATTCATTAGTTACTGTTTGTGTACTTACTGTGTGACTCTACAGTCCTTGAAGTACCTTGGCCATCTCACACATACAAATTTTCTTGTTAGACTTTTGACAGGACTCCTTGGACGAGTGATCAGATCATCACAAAGCCTGTACCTACATAAGACAGCACAACACAAAAAGACCAAGGACAAACATCCATCCCTTGAGCAGGATTGAAGCCCATAATCTCAGTGCCTGAGCGATCGCAGCATTAGGTACTCTTGTATTGGCCTTATTTGCTGCCACATGTGTAATGAATAAATATGCAAATTATTATTTATAATGATTACATCACACAGTTGTTTCAAAGGGGAATAGTAACAACACTAGTTTTTCTCTTATTTCTAAGCAAAATATATTTTATCATGAACTTCTTCCAGTGAAATTTACTGTGGATTAAAGTTTTAGTATTTCCATATTTAAATGAATGGAAACAATTATTTGCTCCTCAAATTGGTATCAAAGTGGTATCAACATGGCTATGAAAATTATGTAGGTAAGCTAAGCATTGCCTTCATAATCGTCATGGTTTTCAACAAGGATGAAATGTGTAAGTACAAATTATTATAAATCTTATTCATAAGTATTAATCATAAGATTTGCTGCTGTAGTCAAAATATAGTACCATTTCATGTACATATGAGCTATGACCCTTTACCAGTTACATTCACCAAAGACAACATTGCACTTGTTTGAACATGATGTTAACATGAAACATATTAGGTATAATTCTTACCTATAGAAATTAATTTACCCTTTGCTGTCATCATGAAGGCATCTTTCAGTGCAGCGACCACTCAACAACATATTTTGAGAGAACCATCTGTACATACAATTGAAGTTGGATTGTGAATGATCTCAAAAGACAGTTGTCAGTTTCTAAATGTCTTGTGTTATAATGTCTTGGTAAAAGTAGGCGAGAGTTTTTGTTTCCACCACCACCACATTCAAATCACACTGTATGATATATATTTACCAGTATGTCTATAGGATTAAGCCGTGTTTAGTGTTAGTGATGAATGTGTTATCTTGTAAAATGTTTTTCTCAGTGTAATAAGTGTTCATTTTTGTACAGAAATCAATTACCATTATGATAATAAATTATACGGTCTTTATAGATATTTGATTGGAACCTGTTCAAAACAAGTCATCCCTGTGCTTGAATACCATACAATAAGGGTTTATAGGGTTGGATAAAACATGTACTTGGCTTGTATCTCATGTAAATCTTACTGTACAGAATGTACATGTCAGGCCAACTGATTTCATTGCTTCAGTAATTTGTGGTCAGGTTTTGTTGTTTTTATCACATCTCAAGTTAACGTCTGAAAGTACAGACTAATGCATGTGTGTTAAATTCTTCAAGAAGATTGGAAAGATGGTGACCCATATTTATCAAGTGGTGCAAGTAGGATTTCGAAGTGCAAAAATGAGCCAGGCATGATTTTATAATGGTTCCATCATTTTATAATGACGTCTGTTGAAAGTGGCAGTATCCTTCAAGAGATGGAAGTAAACAATACCTAATGCACATGACAGAAGGTTCATTATTTGTGAAGTGATTGAAGACATAGGAATTTCTTGTCGCTCATGTCACGCCATTTTAACCAATGATTTGGGAAGTAAACATGTCTTGGCCAAGTTCATTCCAGGATTGCTGACAAATGCAGAAAGAGAGCAATTTGTCTGTGACTTCTGACTTGTTTGAATGAGCAAAGATTGATGAAAACTTTTTGAATGTATCATAACAGGCAGTGAAGTTAAGCAGTAGTCATTACAGTGGAAATCCTCTGTTACAACTCAAGAAACCGTGGTATATGTGCCAGCAAAACTGAGGTGATGCCCCCATTATTTTACTGAAACTGGGCAGTGTGCATCATGAGTGTGCTCCACAAGGTCAGATTAACCTGTATTCCTACTTAAAAAATATTGAGAGGTCTGTATGCAGTGCATCATAAATGCCCACAAAAGTGGAGCAAATTTGGACCTGTCAACTCAGTCCCAAATATCATTCCACAAATTCTCATGTATCACTACCCCATGAGACAAGTGACAGGGTTGATAAAACAGCATAGTATGACAGTTTGGCTTCATTTCAAACTTGGCATGCGGCCAAACTCAAAGTTGTTTTCCTTAGTTTTATTTATTATATTTTTTTGAAATTTTATCAATGCTCATATTTTAAGTTCATAAAGTAAGATACAAAGTATTCAGTTATCTCTTCTTTCTACAATGATACATTTATTTAACTATTGTTATTAATAATCATCATCATAAGGTTGACATAGGAATTGGACATTACATTTTAAGATACATTGTTCCTAATTTGTGGAACTTTTATTATGTCATTTGATTAATTTAAAACTATTTTCATCCACACATATAAAGGGTAGAAAGGGTCTGAGAAGTTAGTAATTTCAGATTCCCCATTAACTGGTATGCAGAATTTAGGGTGAAAATGTATCGGGATTGACATAACAGTCTAATAGGTCAGTTACTGACATTCCCATCCCAAAGTCAGGTAAAATTAGAACTGACCAACATACCATTCCATTTATTCATTTGAGATTAATCTTTATTATTCACATTTTCATTTGAGTACAGTAATAACTGAATTTGAATTATAATTTATAATAACCATAATTATAATTATGGTAGTCCTTCCAAGTAGTAGGTGTACTTGACCTGATACAGGTATTATGAAACCGAATATTTCCATTTTTTAGATGTCTTCCTAAGTATCTACTAACATTGAGTTGATATTTAATTTTTAAGGGGTGGAGTGGGGTGGTACCTATCACAGCTCATCCTTTCAAAACTTACATTCCTGTTTTTCTGTAATGTTGTACAAAATGTTTGTTTTTGCAAAATTTGTAATTCTGTAATTGATTTTCCATATTTTACAATCAAGTCGGCTGTCTTCTGGATTGTAGCACTGTGTAGTCTGGTAGACTCATCACCCTGTTGATGGAAGTAGGAAAGACCTCTGAGATGTTGGTAAATGTCTACCAGACTACATGGCGCTGCAACCCAGAAGACAGCCATCTTTGTGCTCACTGTCGTAGGAACCTCAAATTGTACAGAGCATGTAATCTGTTGTTGGTACCAAAAAACATGTTTTGCCTATTATTTTTTTTTTTTACTCTCATGCTACATACTTTAAAGTAAAAAAAATTCTAATTCTTAGTTCTTGTGCTGTCTAAAATATTTAGGAGTTACCATGAGGATTAGTGATGGTTAGTGTTGGAAACCAAGTGGAAGGCTGACATAGGCCAATATGTTTTCTGTTAAGAAAATAACTACTATTTTGACATTGCAATGAAGCTGAAATGAAATAATTTTGTCCCATTTTTTGCCGCCTCCACCAACCCCCATTCCCCATTTCCATTCATCATGAAATTTACGTCACTTCATCACTTAGCTGATAATGACTTGAATGGAGATAAACTTCCTAGAGTGGTAATGTGCACTTACTAAGCTACAATTCATCACTTTTTACCAGGAACATACTCTGAATTTGTAGTATAAATGAAACTCAAGTGAATTTTAATATAAAGTTGGACATGGTGGTTAAATATGTACAGGATGCAATGTAGATAAAAAACAGTTAGTGTGGAATATGACTTCTGAACTATTTCACAGGATTCCAGTTAGAACAGATTTCAACTCTACAATACATTGATGGGTTATTTAAGTATCTAAATACAGCAAATTGCATGAGTGAGTTCTGACCCTACGTAACTGCTTTAACTTTGTTTTGGTTGGGATTAACATTAATGTTCTAAATGTTATAGATCATATTATTTTCAGTAATGGTTTTGGTATTCTATAAAATGGGCAGCCTGGTAGGTAGCAGTGATTCCAACAACCCCAGAATTTATAATTTTGATTTTACGGTACATTCATCATCTTTATACAAAAATGTGTATTACTTATATTCTTTAAACTTGATTTTTCATTACTTTGCCTGCTGGACACTCAGTGCGTTATCGAGGCTTTGGAATTCACTAATATATCTTATATTGTAATTTGTCACCATGTTATTTTTTATTTTCATATAGGGTTTTACCCCATTAAAACATGCATTTTTGTCATAAATCTGTCGTGATACAAAATGTCAAGATCTTACACTGAGTGACTACTGTTGTTCTCACCAATCACAGTGACAACATTTCACCATTTTTAAGAGATTGGCTACATAGAATCATTAATGACGTCAATTAGCTTTCCATAGTTTTACCAGTATTTTCAGTATTGGTTTCTTCTGGACTATAGCCATCATTCTGCATATTAAAATAAAGCCTCAGTTTTTCAAGGGCCAGTTCAGTCCACATCTTCAGGTGGCGAGAGACATTTTTCTTTCATAGCCTGGAGACGGGAAAAGAGCCCTTGAAACACTGTGGCTTTATTTTAGTCGAAAAACAATAATATTGAATGAAAGAAATCATTGTCAGAACCTTTTAGAGTTATATCTCACCAGTACTTGCCGTACACGTACGTGTGTCTAAATAAATCTTAATGATTTTGAATAATATAACCATATGCAAATGTACACGGGTCACCAAGTGAGATAAAACATCACATTCCATAGTTTGTGTGTGGACAAATGAAAACAACAGTTTGACATTTCGAAGTGTGAAATTTGATTTTAAGAAACTACCTTGAATCTGTTTAATAAACTTCGGCATCTTGCAGTGTGGGTGGGGCAAGGAGATGTCTCCAGTCTGGTACTCAGATTAGTTGGTTGAGATGGCTCTGTTATATGCACGGAACAGCCATTTCTTCCTCAGATTATTCACAATATGGTTTCTCATCATCTCATCGTCTGTTTCGTCATATTCAGTGTCAGTTATACTATTGCCATTTGGTGACTGCATCTGGAGAAAAGATCATCATTGCTAATAACCAATTTGGCAACTTCCTAAGTTCGTTTGGAGAAAAAAATGTTATAGTTTACACTTAAGTTACAATTATATATCAATAAATATGAAATTTAATATTTAATAAAATATTTAAACAGATACAAATTTGTATGGCTGGATCTCATGGACATTGGCAGTAAGGATGTGACTGGTCTGAACTGTCTCAGAATAGGGTTCATTCAGTGGTTTATGTAACTAATAATGCTTACTCTGAAGAAGGTAATCACTATTAAACAATTTTAATTTTTGTCCCAAAATAATGTAATATTTTTTCTCTCAGAAATGTTATGATAATCTACCTTCAGTGTGTGGTAAAATCTATTTTTGAAAATATTATCATCGTTTTTATTATGACTGTCACCATTAGTATATCATTAAATTGAAAGTTGTATGTAATTGTTTACATTTGTTTTGAATTTTATAGGTCCAGAGGGTCGAATTCCGTCATGTTCTGTGGTTTTCTGACTTGCTCAAATATGAAGAAACTGATTTTTTGCTTGGAGACGCTTCAGCTACTGTCAGTGGAACAGGTGAGGGATCCATTTGCCTGATTTTGACATTAGCCAAACCTACAGGTGCATTTTGAGCCGTGTATAAGAGCAAAAATTCCATTTTGTGGCCTGGAGTTGTTACAGGTACTGAGTGCATTTTGGGTGCTTGTTTTGTGCTGGTCTCCAACATTAAAGGAAAAATTCGGATTTCAGGGTGTTTGATAATGGGTGTACTAAGGAGAATATATGGAGGCAAGACGGGTGACAGGAGCATGGAGAATTGACATATAGAAGAGCTTCATAATTTGTACACTTATTAATGAGATTGGTGAGGCATTAGTAACTATAGAGTAGATTAGAAAAGCATACACAATTTTGGTTGGGAAGTCTGAAGAGAATTGGAATTCTTAGGCATGAAGGAAGCAGAGTGGGCCAGTGGCAGACTTATGCGAACATGGTAATAAATCTTGGGATTCTATATAAGATGGTAATTCTTAATGAGCGACCATCAGTTTCTCAATGGTGAATGATCAAGAAGGAGGGGAAGAATCATTCTGATTCTCTTTGGCAAAGCTATGGCATGTTTTAAGGTTCAGTTTCGTAATTTGCATTGAGATGACTGAGAAATCAAAGACACTTGGAATAGCCGGCATCGACGTGCCCCTCGAAATATGCTTGTCCGTACAAAAGAGCGAGAAAATATGTAATGGGGACAACTGTTACACGGTTCAAGGTATTACACTCAGAGGGCCTCAAGAAAACTTCAGTTCGGGTAACCAGATCTGTTCAGGCGATCCAGTGCTTGAGCCTCTACTTACTGTCGGCTGCAAGGGCCGGAGGTGGAAGTCGACTCTCTGCGCCTCGTGGTGCGGGCGATCATACACGTTCACGCGGTGACTCATTGCGTGATAGCCGTCTCGATAGGCCGAGATTATGTATTGACCGGGTGTCAGCAGCCGCCAGAAGTCCCCACCATGCACTGCGGAACAGTAACATCACACACTGGATAATTACGTTCCATTTTCTTACTGATACAACTTCGACAAACCGTGATTCAGATCCTGAAGAACATTAATGATTTGCGAAGATGGCTGTCTTCTGGGTTGTTGCGCCGAAAGTCTGGTAACATTTTATGGACGTTTCAGAGGTGCTTAGTAAGCCGCACACAGCGCTACGACGTAAAAGACAGCGAACGTTACACTTTCCGCCGTAAAAGACCTGAAATCTCACTTAATGACTTGTATGTTACGCAATTATCTATCGCAAACCTGGGGAGAGGAGACACCGAGTTACCCAGAATGTTAATAGCCACCTTTCTGGCAAGACGGCGTCGTAACCAAACAGATAGAAGCTGAAAATCTATTTCTAGGTTTTTGGTAACTAACTGATCAACTGACTGACTTACTGACTCTCCTGTTTTACGTTTGTTTAGGCCGATCAACTCACCGGACGTGACGTCATGCTGTATGTCGTCGTCGTGTCCCGCAGTGATGTTCTTGACGTGTATCACCGTGTGGGGGAGTGGCTGTCCAGTTACTGCGTCTCTGACGTGGCCCTTCACCCCGATGTGGGCCTGACAAGAGTAGAAGGAACCAAGTAAGCACGTCTGTCTGTTTTTTTGGTAATTTTGCGTCGGATATTACTCAGTTATAATACGCATAATTATCTCTTTCCCCTTTCTTTAAACAGCGAAACCGTTCCTAAAGTTCTATATATTTTTCTTAGTCTCATAGGATCGGGAGATTCATTTTCCAATTTGTTCATGAGATGCATCGTGTGGCGGATTATATACCGAGTGTCTCAATACCTGCCACATGAAGTGGATGAGGGCATCCTTGTTGTTGTCCCATTCATCTTGGAGAGCCGAGGCTTCTGGATACTTGTCACATCCGAGCTCCAGTGTAATCTCGAAGTCATTTGATGACAGATAATTGAAATCTTGCATCCCTAAAATGAACGTTATTTTGTTTGAAAGCGTTTTTAATCTCGGGATCCGACACGCACTTTTATGAAGATTTAATCACACTGTCACCTACCTCCCTGCACGCTGTACCAGGCAGCTCCATTCGTGATGCCGCCTTGCTTTCCAAAATTGTAGCCGTCGTGTCCACAACCGTGTCGTCGCGGGTTCGCCATGTTCTTGTGGTGCGTGGAGTAAGCCAGTGCCAGATGCCTGTGACAATTGAGACTCGTATTGCATCACAAGTGTTTTGGATATTATCTGATGTCTAAGGTTTCTTAAATATTCACGATAATTATCAATATTAACAAACTTAGGTCGTGTATTTACAAGGAATTTGTATATCTTGGTATATCGCATACCTGAAGGTCTGGTCGTCAGGACTTTTGGTGTACTCCGTTCTAGCTCCAGAACGGCTTGCGTCGTATGGGTAGTTGGCTACCAGGTCACCGCCGTGGAGGTTAGCAGACAGAACGAAAGGTACCTGCATGATCAGCCGTATCACCGCTTTTGTCTCAGGCTGAATCTGCAACACGACAATACAGAATTTTCGTGCGTGTCTGTGCGTAACAAAATGTTTTACACTTTGCAGCAAAGTGTGAAATTAAAATCATACTTTTGAATTACCACCAAGTTTTATCACTTAAATTCCCTAATTAATTAATTAATGGAACCTGGATAACCCGTGTTACTTTCAGGATTTATGGTAATTTTTCCGAGAAAGAGCTAACATAACCTT